TCATTGTTTTAAATTTTTAATTTTGTCTACCTAGGTAAGAAATAAACATTTATATTATTCTTTTAATTGTATATAAACATCGTTTATTTTCGCTTTAATCTAAATAAATAAACAAACAAAATACCGTTAAATGAACTTTATTTATTTATTTAGACATATAAGATTCTGTCACAGGAACAATAATTATATTGATAAATGAACACATTCACACCGTATATACAAAAAAGAAATAAAATTAACAAAAGTAAAATAATAACTAAATAATAATAAATAAAAACTATATACAATGAAAGAATAAAATAACTTAAATATTTGTACTCGCTTCGGCGGTACATATACTAAAATTGGAAATGAACTAAAGTTTAATATTAACTATAACCATCGAATTCATCTCGTATCCAATCTTTACAATACAAAATCCTTCGTAAAATCCTTAATGCTCCTTATTTTTTAACAAATAAAATAATCCATAATGACCTGAATGTTCCACATGTTTCCGATTTGGCCCAATCCAGATACCTATCCTTCCATAATAAATTTCAGAACCATCCTAATCCTCTCGTTTCTAACCTTGATTCCTCCTCGATCCCTGATAACCCTCCTAGGTGTCTGGATCTCCTAATTTAGATACTTCATTAGAGTGCTACGAATGGGTAGATTCTCTACAAGCCTTGTCATATCGTGTATTTCCATGTATCACATTTGGTGAATGTATATTAATTGTACAGTTGTAAATTTCATATATAATAACCATGAAAAAATAAAATAAAATAAAAGATGGGGTCATGGAGTGACCCTTGAAAACATATGTTTACTAAATATCAAGTTGTATAACCCACTGTGGGTTCTATCGCTGATCTAGGAGGACAAAAACACTTTCAAAATATGAGAAATGTGATATAACATCCCTTTTATAGATAGTTGGTGACCTAAAAGTAAAATTACAAAGTACGTTTAAACTCTCACTGTAGGGTACGGAAGTGTGAGGTTTGGGCTTCAGTCCTACCAGTTGACAAATAGTCCCAGCACTATTATTTAGTTCCAACCAGTGCCTATGTGGGTTATTGCTTAAGATCACTTTTAATAATTCAGTTAACTATCTTATTTCACTGGATTAATTTAGGTTCAACCAGTTTGATGTTGGTTAAAATTGCATTAAAAAAATGGCTATGATCAAACTTTTGAAATACATAAACGACACTTACGTAGTCTATAAAATACCATTCCCGGTATCCCACTGCTACATGTATTTTTTTTTTTTTCATTTTATAGCATTTTTTATATTATTTGAAAAAATAATCATCAATTTTTTTTGCTCGTAAACCAACATCTTCTTGCCCTACAATATCCTACAATGATATTCCACTTGTCCCTGTTGAACAAATCCGCTACCTAGGACTCCACTTGGATAAATGTCACACTTGGAATTCGCATACTAGACTGAAACGACAAGAAACTGCTCGACGTTTCCGACTGCTCCAACACTTACTAGACAAACGCTCTAAACTTTCAATTAATTACGAAAGACTCATCTACTTATAAATAACCATCGAATTCCTATCGTATCCAATCCTTACAATCCAAAATCTTTCGTAAAATATTCTGTCACAAATAAAACCATTCATAAAGGTCTAAATGTTCCAAATGTCGCTGATTTAGCCCGAGCCAGATACCTATCCTTTCATGATAAACTCCAGTCCCATCCAAATACACTTGTTTCCAGGCCTGCTTCTTCCTAGATTCTTGATAATCCCCCTAGGCGTCTGAAAAGAAGATGGCCACGTGATCTTCTCACCTAGAATTAAATAGGGAGTGCTACCACTAGGGAGTATCTCTTCAAGTCTGTTCATGTCATTATTTCCAAGGTGTGCATTTTTACTAGTTGTATTTTTTATACAGTTGTAAATTTCATTATATAAATATAAAATAAATAAATAAAAAAACATTTTTTTTGCATCTTTGCGCTGAGCCCTCAATTTATAACCAATATTTTTTAATCTTATAAAAACTTTATGAATTGAATAATAAAAATTATTCAGGTTTGAAAGAAAATGTAGCCCTATTTACATACAAAATAAGTGAGTGTTAAAAAAATTCTTTGAAAATGATTTTCATTTTTTTTCCAGAAAAATGTGTTATAGCTGAAGCATATTTTCTAGAGCTGAGTAACAATTGATTATAACCACCACTCTTCTCGAGGTTTCGAGGGAACAGGGAGACCGGATAATGTTTTTTTGATTGCTTGACAAAACTAATGAGCTGAAAGTACTGAACATAGAAAGTACAGTAGGGGTGTCCAGAAGGGGTCTACATGACGCAAGTTGCACCACCAAAATTTTGAGGGAAAGCATTTTTACGGGGATATGGATTTTTAAAGGAGTCCAATGTTTACAGACTGTGTAGACAAGAAAAGAAAAAAACAAAGGCAATAAAAGGGAACCTGCTGTCAGAGAGCGATTATGAGGGACTTTAGTCACAGAGTGACCTTTCCAACGATGTTGATTATAAGGTTAAGAAAATAAATAGAGATTAAATAAATTTGAATACATCCATAATAGTTTCATTTTTATTAATACTGCGTTAGTTTTTCATTAATTCTAAGTAATTATGATTTTAAAGTTCTTAAAAATTAAATTTTCGCTATAAATTAAACTTGCATTGACTTAATTAAGACTATAAAGGGTTTTATTTGTGAAAATTGCGTGATTTTTATTCGAAAATTATGCTGAATGAATTTTATCCTCCTTGATCAGCTATCGGCTATCGGCCCAACTGTGCGACAATGTTGCTAGACGTTTTTGATTTTTATAATTTTTTTGCCAGCTATTTTTTTTTAAATTACAAAAATATCGAGCAACAAAATTAATTCAAATTGGATGATTTCGAGAGGATTTAAATCTATTTATTTATTTATCATTACACAAATTCTGTGGTAGATGTATAAGTTTTCGCTGGAGTGACAGCTAGTATCACATCAATTGATACATGCAACCGACTGAACAGTGAAGTATTTCCTTAACAACTGCAATATTTGTTGCGATATAACGAATAGAACCAGTCAAGTCTCAGAGATCAAATTCGTATCACACGTTGCTATCATAAAGAGGATTGAACTGTAATCCTCAGAATTTTTCACTTGTCCTTTTTCGTGATATTCAACTTTTAAAATCACCAAAAATTACTTTTGGCCGTTTTTGAAAATTCATATTTAAAAGAGGACAAGATTTCCAAAATTGAAATTTCATCAGGAAGTAGTTCGGTGAAAGGACTACATATGAAAACAAATAAAAGTTGAGACTTTTCATTATTACACTTTTGCAGCGCTAAACCCCGTTTTATTTCTATTTTCGTGATTTTTTTTTAAAACTACTTTCCTGTTTTTAGGTGATATATTGATATACAGAAATGTAGAAAAAAATGTTCTAAATTATTCCAGTTTTTATTTTGGGTACATATCTAGAAAATTACAAGGGTCGCAGGAATTTTCTCATAACATGTATTCAGACGAAAAGCAAATTGCAAATGGCCGCTGATAACTGTGTGCCTATGGTTTTAAAGTCTCAAATAAATATGGAATAACTTTTAAACAAATTACAAAAATATCGAGCAACAAAATTAATTCAAATTGGATGATTTCGAATGGATTGACCCTAGATTTGTTTCGACTGATTCTTCTTTTTCTAATTACACCGATGCACTGTGGGACGAGTGAGGGAAAATTCGTGATATCGGATAAATGTCTATATATTTTTTTTTATAACTCCAAAAACTAGATAAACTGTTTTATTGATATTTTGTGGAATTCGTGAGAATATTTTCAGTTGTTAGAATATACATTTTTCACTATTTTTATTGAACAGTTCAATCGAAAAAAATTAATATATTTAGCCGTTGTCGCTAGTTTTTCCTTGTATTATAGCCTAATTATCCACAGGAAAGTATTTTGTTTATGAAAACAATTTAAATACTTCATAATTAAAATACACTATTGTGGGTAAAATGGTTGACTGTCGTGAATAATGAAGAGAAGAATAGTTGGGGTGATCAGTCAAATAAGAAGGCAAAAATAAATGATAATATTTATTTTGACATTTGCCGACGTTTCGACCTGAAGTTCAGGCCTTTATCAGGGCTAAGAAAAGAACCAGATAACAAGGTATGAGAAACATAAGTAGTGTAGGTAAAAAAAATTAAAGTAAAATGAAGTTGTTAGAATAATGACAATAGTAAGAACTAAGAGATAAATAATAATAACCGTTACAAAGTGTGGAATGATGAAGTAAACATGATCAAAAAAGGTGACATAAGTATTAAAATGGGAATCTTAGAATAAAATGTAAAACAGAAAAAAGGAATATGAAGTTATATAAGATATGAAAATAAATAGTAAAATTAAGACATTGCGAATAGAGTAGTTAGATAGAAAATTGAGATATTGTAAAGTCTATCAAGATGTACAGACAATATCTTCTCTTCAAAATACACTATATTTTAAAAACACAAAATACTTGGTATTTTAAAATAAAAATAAAAATACTATGTACCTAGACAGCCGACTGTGCGATGGACGAACAATAGTCCTCGTTGCAAATGTTAAACAAAATACAAAATACGAGAATATTTTAACGAAGAAAACCTGTAATTATTTCAAATACTCTGTTATTGAAATTTATAATATTTAATTTTGTTTGAAGATAAACAGTCTATCTATTTATCTATCTACAGAGAAAATAAAATGCTTTAAAATGATTTTTAAACAAAAATGTATTTCATAACAGTTTAATATTTCTTTGAATTTTTGTATTTATTTATTGTTAATTCTTAATCTATTTGTCAATTGGATATGATTAATTAAAAATAAATTTGAAATTTAAAAAATAAATGTTAGTATTTGGGCTATCCGATGATAGAGGTGGGGTGGGTAAGGATTGGGTGGGGGGAATGGAAGAGTGTGGAGGGGAGGGGTAGGACGGAGGGTCAGTAGCTAAGAGACGGCCGACATGAGCAGGCCTAAACGCCTGTGCCTGGTGCGGCTGGGCACCGGGCCGGACACATTGTTGGATATCAGTGCACGTATCGTTGCTGAACTCATACCCTTCCAACGGGTGGAGGAGAGGTATGAGCGTATCCCAGAACCCGTTCAACGGCGGATCGTCTTTTGGTCCTTCCCGAGAGATGAAAGGGACATCTGCATGTACTCCAGCCTGAGCAGGGCCAGTCCTGTCAACGGCGAACCTCACAACCTTTCCTTCTACAAAGGGCTCAAAATTCTTGAATCCGGATGCGTTGAGAATGTTCTACAAGTCGGTAAGTCACAACTTCATATCAATCCCACTTAAAACTTAACAATTTCACAGAATATTTTGAATGTTTATTATTCTAATATTATCCTTTGCTGGCCGATTGTAATACTTATATATGCAACAGTCGAGTTTAAAGTTTATTTGAATGTTTAGCATAGTTAATTTCATACTGGTAATAGTTTTGGGTTTTTGCTAACAATATAATTTTTGTTTTCTTTCTGTTTTTAATAACTAATGGTCATAATTTGAACTGAAACAAACACAGTCTTTCTTTAATAATTACTCGTGTTTCTATTACGTTATCTTTTTAAATTCTTTCACTCGTAGTTAACGAAACATATTTAAGGGAGACAATAATAGTGTTATTGAAGGAATAACTTTCACAAAAAATCACAATACAATTATTTCTATTGATTTGATACGAATACTATCAAGAGGATCCCAATTACGAATCAATGTAGTGTATTATTTGCGAATTCTATTAAATAATTAAACGTCCGCATTGATTGTTTGGTCATTATCTTTTTTTTATCAATAATGTCTACTTTTTTTTTTATTAACAAATACATTGTAAATAATTTATGTTCCTTGTCAGGATTTATAAGTTATATTTTCCCTACAGTAATATTGATTTTATTTTATTTTTTGAGTTGTCATTGAGCCAAGTAACTATTTTTATTTCAAAAATGTTAACCCATTTATAATAAACGCTTAATATTGATATTGCGTTTTTATCAATTTTTAAATTTGCTCAATTGAAATGTCACCAATACAACTAGTATTTACTTTATTTTACTCTTTTAAAGATCTCTAATCTTCCCATAACAGTAACTGATGTCGTATCTCAAATTCTAAAAGTTTTTTTGACAATTGTATTGTATCCAGTTAATGAATATTAATTTCATTTCAGTTTTTCATTTTTTTATAGATAATAGCACTATGGTGATGATAGCTTATCACCGTTTTCACTTTTTCGCATATACTCAAAATTTGAATTTTATTTAAATTTCAAATCACAGATCTGCCATGTATATTGTGTGTATATATATATACATATATCATATGAGTTCTTCGGCAGACCCTAGCATGTGCATGAAAATCACTTTGCAACCTCCCCTTTGCGAAGAACTCCTTTAATTTGATAAGGAAAGGAAATCCCCCATCCAGCTCTTTTCAACCCTTCCTGTTTTGGTCTCTGGAATCGCTATGCAGCTATATCTTGTAGTATTCCCTTCCAGATGTGTCTTCCTTTTTAATCCTTTGAAGTACATTAGTTAAATATTTAAAGCATTTTATTTGAATTTTCTTCTTGACATGTAAATTTCTGTTAGGAATCTCCCTACGGTATTAGTGTGTCCGGTGTCTGCCATGCTTGGATAATCAATTCGGTATTATATACATACATATATATATATATATATATATATATATATATATATATATATATAGTTTTAATATTGTATAATTTGGTGCGTCTCAATGACATCAAAGTTACGTATTTGAGATCATACTGTTTTACTATTTGTTTGAACTGAATCAGTTTTAAGGAGGATGTTGGATAAAGTTATTTACCCTATTAATTAATGTAATTTTATACATACCCCAATTATTATGGGCTGTCATAGATCTTACCGTGATGCAGTGAACTTCATAATGTAATTATAAACGTTCGTTAAAATGAACTTCGCGTTCTCACTCAGGAGGTCTGTACTCCCAAAGTCACTTCTTTCTTTTGTGCCAAAAATGAACACACAAACAGGATCCGATTAGCTTGTGGGTGGAATAGCTTAAATTGGTATTCATATATATATATATATATACTTCTAAAATATTTATTTACAATGAAACTTGTCTGTGTAGTATGATAACTTGGGTTAAATATATCTGAATTAATTCCGTGCTATTCACTTCTACAAAAATGTTTTAATGAGTGCACTTCATTAGTAAAAAGCGTCAATTATTGATATGTTTAATTTGATATGTTTGATTAATTTGTGAGTATGTGTGTGTTTGTTTTTTTGTTTTATAGAAGTAAAATCTTTTATAAGACAATGCGTGATTAAAAGTCCACAGTGTGAGACTCACCAAAAGGCGACCTTCCTGTTCATGTCAAGCACAGCGCGGAATCATGAGGTTTGCTATGCGTCTGTCATCTTTCAAAAGTATAATTTCTCTCTTGCTTTTGAGCTACACGCAAGACATTCCTTATGTAATCAGTAATAGCTCTAAGGACTGATGAAATTTATCTACTATTTATTTATCTATCGTCCATCGGTGCTGCATATAACAGGGTGAGACTGGGTGCACTTATTATAGCCTGTGCATTAGTCACAAGATGTTCTTCCCCAAGTCCCGTCGTATAATGTAATTAAATAAAAATCTGGCACATTTTTTTAAATAGTAAAGAATATACTTCTGTTTAGTAATATAAATTTTAAGATGCTCCTCTATATTGGTCCAAAGGTCCCATAATTTACCTGGAACGACCCATTGCATCATTCTTATTAATGAGGATGATCCAATAGGTGGTTTTAGGTGACGTCTAACGTATCTTCAGAAGTAGATGAACGAGTGCATAATTCCAAAAATTCAAACCAATAAAATTAATATAAATACTTTTATATCGAGAATTCGTTACACCAGGGGCGGAAATAAGGCCTGTAGAATCGTTGCGACGCATTGAGGCGCAGAGCCTATGGGGTAGTTGGGTTATACTGGAAAATATTTGGAGCAAATGAAAAATAAAAATTGGAAAAAAAAATATTTATTTGTGATAAACATAATATGCTTTGATTAGGAGGGAGTTATGAGGTAAGTGTAAGGAGAAAATTGTTATTTTTTTCATAAGGGATGGGAGTCAGGGTGAAGAGGATATGTATGAGGAGCTTGCATTGGTGCAAAGCGTCCGCTGTTACGCTGCCGTTAAACAAATTAGACGCTACGATCTATCTGCAACCGTAACATTCGTTTATCTGATCTTGTAAGTTTTTTTTCTAACCGTGAAGTAGTTGTCAATAATCTTCACGAGATATTGTGAGGCTTCCATCCTTCGTAATCCTTCCATTTTTACAATCTCTTCAAGCTGCATAATAAGCATTCCTTACGTGTCCAAAGTTATAATTGCTGAGTAATTTTAACTACCCCTTCTCTAATTTTTTTCCCCAATAGCCTCTCAAATCACAACATCGATTGTAGATGTGCTCTTCCGAAAACTATACTATTTTTATCAGACAATCCTTCGACTCCGCTGGCAAATTTTGCCAAACACGATTATTTCCCGTATCTTGCTTGCGCTGTCGAAGTAATAAAATTATAAAATAGATAAATTGGCCGATAAGATAAAATTTTGTTCTATTCTTGAAGTAACTCTTTATAATCTTCATGAGATAATTTGGGGCTCAACCCTTCGTTATCCTTCCATTCTATAATCTTACCGACCTGAATTAAAAGAATTGGATCGTTCGAGAGCCGATTTGGCAGGAGCACAAGTCGTTGCTGCTTCCTCTGGGTCGAAAAGACCCCTTAAAGGAGACAAGGGCGGGCTTTATACATACAGAAGATTTTAGGCCAGAACTGGTAATATCATTCAAGACATAATTTATAAAACTACAAGGACCCGTAGTTTTGTGTGTGTATAAAATTATAAATTACTAACGCTCTGAGAAACAGCTGTGGAATAAATACGACAGCTTGATGCGGGAGGAAATGTTATGCACAACTTCCCCTGAATCATAAAGACCATCTGCTACGGGGTGTGTTAGAAAATTCTTTTATTGAATTGAAATATTACTTAAGATATTGACTATAAATTGTATTAAATACGATTAATTTAGAGTAGTCATATATTTTTTTTTTCAGTAAGAAATATTCAGTTCTTTCTGTTATAAAAATGGAATATATTCATGTAAAAATAGATCATGGTTATTGTTATCTAGTTATTAATATGGTTCGGAATTGAAGAATTTCTCCTTTTTTCGTTTAAAGGAAAATCGAGTTCCCCAGATCTATGCCGATCTTGGGTGGTAGATTTAAAATACAAAATCCTATAGGATTTTTTTTTTTGTCTATTTTGAAATTATGCACTAAAATAGTTCTTTTTTGGAATTTTTCTCCAGAACATATTTTGTTTTTGCTATTTCATAAAAAAAAATATATTTTGTATTATCACACATACAAACATTCCGAATTTTATTCAATTGAATATATTCCCGAATTGTTGTATAGGCTTTAACGCTAAATTAATCTAGTTATATTAATTTAATTCGTACTTTAAAAAGAAAGATTAAAACCCTCCTAAATCCATCAGCATGAAAACGAAAAACCAAAACTTGGCTCTGAGTTTATAACGTCGTCAGACCCAAGCGCTGGATTTTTTTTTTTAAAGTAAATTATTCCTTATCAATTCTAAGAAAATTAAATGTTCAATTTTTTTATTTTTAACGAATGGGACGTTAACAATGCTACAATTGAATTTAGAAATAATTGAGACTAATAGAATTTTGCTGAATTTTGAGATAGTATTTTCAAGCAAATCTAGCAAATATTATTTCTCACAAACATATAAATATTTATATTAATAAGTATTGTCAATCCTTAAAATTCAACTAATTTTGTAAACATTATTATTTCCCTTCTCGGTTTTACCATGTTTATTTATGTTCAACAATATTTATACTCTACAAATACTATTGTACACACTACATACTATTTTTAATAAATGTTTTAAGATCTTTCTTAAATATAAAAATGGATTTTTACGATGTATTCCTTGGAAAATTAAGATATTGTGATCCAAGACCCAGTTAGAACAAAGGGGGATCTTCATGTATGTGCCATGTTTTAGCAGTTGTATTTGTAATTGAAAATTAAATTAAAATATTTATTGCTTGCAAATTGTATCTGAATGTCAATATCTTCTTTCTGTCATAAAATTTTACCGGTTTATTAACCCCCGAACATAACTGAGTCTCCATCTTAGTAAGTAGGGTACGAGCCAATGGGAGCTCTGCCCTCTCAATGAGTCTTGAGCAGGTGTCTTTTCATCTTGCAGCTGTCCTTTCGTGTTCCCAACTTGGATCTTGGTTCGTCCGTTTTATCCATATCTATTAATCTAGTATTACTCTCACGTTTAAAATGAAATACTCATATCTTCCGCATTGTTGTTATAATTTTACTGCAAGACCATTGCATCATACGGGGTTTGGGATATCCCTAGAGAGAGAGAATCACTTTATTATCATAAAATAAAATAAAATGGTGCTGCCCAATTACATTGGGTTGCTAACAACACAGCATACTTATTAATCACTACAGACATTATTTAAAATTATTATACAATTATAGGATTAACAATATGTATGAGCATAGTATACAATATTTTATACGTATATATATATATATATTATTTTTTTTTTTCCTTTTTTTTTTTTTTTATAATTTTTACTATTTCTTTCATTCATTTATTATCATTCTGTACCCTTTCTCTTCCTTCTCTCCCCCTATACATGTTCCCACTCACATTCTCTCCTCTCTCTTTCTAACCTAATACATAAAAATCGAAGGTTTTATTCTTTATTTCAGACGCATATTAATTTTAAGTAGATACTGCAATGGGTTTAAAATAACGAAAGTTGGTAATGTTTCTAGAGAAAAAGCTGTAAATTTTATTTGAATTAAATGAATATATTTAACAGTTTATAATCTTTATAATAACTATTTAAAAAAATAAATGGAAAAGCATTGTATATTTAATGAAATAGAAAATCTCTATAATATGAAGTTTTATTAACCACCATTGTTTGTTATTTTAAATTATTCTAAAAAAACAAAAACAAGTCACACCAATAAAATTTTTTCAGTATTCATATCTATTGCAGATGGTTAAATAAATTATTACAAACTTAAGATGTTTTCATATTTTCTTTTTATTACAAATTACTTTGTTTTTTTCTCCTGTTGTTAATAACAGTTTTCCTGAAGAATTATTATATAAATTACCTATCAGTAATTTATCATTTATCTAATTGTACGGTCTTTATTAGAAAGTAATATTGTATTAATTAAATTTTAATAAGTACAATATATGTATATTATGAAACAATACAAATGAATAGAACATAAAAATAAGTTTATTGTGAGATAAAGTCCCTTAAAAATAAAAAAAAGATATAAAGAAAAAAAAATGACTTCTGCCTTAAAAAAAAGTTTAACGATATTATCTTTTAAACAAATAACTTATGTCAAATACACCTTGCTTGCTGAGTATAGCAATTTCAACTTCTAACTTAAGTAATTTTAAGTTTAGTTTCTAAATTACATGAGATTTCTCTAGTATGAGTTTGTTGTAATAAATCTATCTTGAAACAAAAAAAAAATAAAAAAAAATAAATAATAAATGTATTAAAGATTTTCATAGATATCATTATTTTTGCTTTGAATTACTTAACATTTAAACATATCATTTTTTTAGTATAATTATTTTAATATTTTAGCAACCTTGCGTAATACTTACTGTCTATTTAATAGTTTTTGGTTACTATCATCGGTTATTGTTGCTCCACGAAAATAATTATCCACTTATCTGAAGAAGGGGTTTCCCATCCTCCCCATATAATTCGAGTACTTACTACCTGGCATGAAGGGAAATTTGGCTTTACTTGAATAGTATATTGAAGGAAAAGGAGTCGTCGGTATTTGGTTCAAAATTTTCTTAAAGTTAGTCGAAAGTTGTTCCAAAAATACATCCGTACCTGCGGGGTAAAAGGTTGCTTGTTACAAAATTATTAAATTGTTCAGGAGAGGACGATGTCTTATTTTTTCCTTTGAAACAGCTCATAATATCCTCGTAACGTTGATTTTAAGTACTAGATTTGTCAAAAAAAAACAAAAAAAAAAAAAAAAAACTGGAAACTAATAATATTTATGTAATGAATTAAAGTAACTGTAAAAAATATAAATTTTGATAGACTTCGGACCTTGTACCCTGATCCAAATGTCTGGAAAGAGTCATACGAGTTTTAACGGGCTTTCAACTTTTTAACCCTAACTAAAAAAAAATATTTCTAGTCCAGTAAACTTGTACATCGTCAGTTACATCAAATGGTGATAGAAGGTTATTTATTTATTTTTTTTTTTTTGTATGGGATGTGACTGCGATACAAAATCCACGTTTTCGACCTCGGCACCTCCCCCCCACCCTCTCTCCACCGGATCACTTTTGAATATTCCCAAAACTGCTATATTTTCGCACTCTTTTCGGTTTTCCCATTTTTACCACAAAGAGACACGTTTTCTGCAAAAAACATTTTATACTTATTTAAACTGGGCTGAATATTGTACAACCAGGACCAAGTGTATCTCGGTATATTTAATAGTTTTTGAGATACAGGTTTTCAATTATTTGGAATCTTTTCAACTTGAAAATTTTAAGCTGTTTTTCATGTTTGATCATATGCAATCGTCTTTATATCTACCCGTATATCATAAGATCAGATTTCAGCAGTCTTGCTTTTAAAATGTAGTTGTTTAATATAAATATGTTTGATGTATAATGTAGTTGTTTAACATGAAATGTGTTTGAGATACCGAGGGGAATGTCATCCCTCTGTCGATCTTGATATTAAAATTCAATAAAATAGTTCCTTCAAGCCATTTTGCACTTGAATCTGCCAATACTAAATGCTCCTAGTTTATAATATGATTAAAATTTGCGCTTAGAAAGGAGTTGAAAATTTGATACTTTTTTTGGGCCATTTTCTTCTCCATTCAGCGCAATTTTTAAAAGGATTATAGTTTGGCATCGTGTTGTAAATAACATTTCAGTTTTCAAATGCGATTTTTAATTATTAGCTTTTGTTTTTCATAATATTTTTTTTCTTTCATATATAATTGCTCATATTTTATTAAGAGCCTTTATATTTTTTAAAACATAAGACTAATGGTTCAATTAAAAAATTGATAATGTAAACTAGACTTATATTTGCAC